AAGATTCCATTTCATCTTACATAGGAATCAATGGGGGATTTCTGGGCATGAACTTCTAGGTCAGATGGGTTATTCTCAGAGCTCCATGAGTATGAGACTGGCTACAGTAGATGACCACCTTCTGGGACTGTGGAAAATTGATGGGGAATAAGGAGCCCAGTGGAATCTACCCTCTGATATATTTGTTTCATTCAGACTAAATCTCTAAAGGGTTAGACCTAGGCAAACATCTAAAAGGAAAGCAGACTGCTATGCTGTTGTGCTGGAAGTTTTTACCCTCTATTCTTCCTGAGTGCTCAGTTGAACCTTGAACGGAAGCCCATTCTGAGGAGCTGTCACCCTGCTATTGGCTTGCTTCTGGGGACAGCCCTAGGTGAGAGCTGCTAGTGTGGGCTCTGGCAGGTGCTGCTGTGCCTCGTCCTTGGTTCATATCCCTGGTCCAGGCTCAGACTCAGCAACAGAGCCTGACCCTGGGTCCTGCTTTACACTAGAATATGAGGCATTTGACAAGAGTGACTGTGCTCCTGATCTTGGGTGAGTTATTTTGGGATTAAGAGGAATTGGGATATGGGTCTGGACAGGGATCTGCAACCTTGCCTGCTACCACTGCTTTTTTTTTTGGCGGTATGCAGGCCTCTCACTGTTGTGGCCTCTCCCATTGCAGAGCACAGGCTCCGGACATGCAGGCTCAGCGGCCACGGCTCATGGGCCCAGCCGCTCCATGGGCATGTGGGATCCTCCCGGACCGGGCATGAACCCGTGTCCCCTGCATCAGCAGGCGGACTCTCAACCACTGCGCCACCAGGGAAGCCCCCCACTGGGGCTTTAATCATGTTCTTGTGGCTGCAGCTGGACTGTGAGTTGAGTGTTTAAGGGAAACAGTGTATTAGTGGATATTCTTTAGAAGCCAAGACTGGCTTTATTCAGGTTTCTTCTAGTTATTATAGAGAAGGAAAAGTAAATTCTGGAGCTTAGTAATCTGGCAACCCTTCTCCTTTCTCTGACTTCTTCTTTCTGCATAGGTGTCAGTCTTGGAGAGAAGATGGAGCAGAGCCCTTCTACCCTGACTGTCCAGGAGGGAAACAGCTCTGTTATCACCTGTACTTATACAGACTCTGCTTTAGACTACTTCCTTTGGTATAAGAAAGAACCTGGAAAAGGTCCCCAGCTCCTTATAGATATTCGTTCAAATAAGAACAAAAAAGAACACCAAAGATGGAGTGTTTTATTGAATGACAAGGCCAAACGTCTCTCCCTGCACATCTCAGACACCCAGCCTGGAGACTCAGCTGTCTACTTCTGTGCAGCAAGTACACAGTGCTTCCCAGGCACCTGCTACCTGTACTCAGAGCTGCGACTGGGGCAGCCTCCTTCCTTTGGCACAGACTTTCGTGTATAGCATTTGTCATATTGTTTGTCTGCAAGTGGAAACTAATGTATTAGACATGAAATGCATAGAGTAAGATTAGGTTCAAGATGACCCAGAAAGTGTTATACATTTTTGTGGATAACTGTTGCTTACTGAATTCTTGAAGGGAGTTAGTAATATTTTATTTCAAAATTGTAAGATTGATGTTACATTGCTATTCAGACTCTTCTTCTCTAAATAACTCCCTGGTATCAATATCACAATCCTTATTGGGAATAGATTTTTAAATACTGTGTTTTGAAAACAGCATTTATTATTTTTCTGATTACACAACGTTACATGCCGGTTATAGGAAATGTGTGATATTCAATAATATGATATTGACAATTCTGTAATCACATAATATTGCTAATATTCAGTTTACCCTTTTTTATAAATTCTTATTATAAATAGGCTCATGATTTTTTCACTTACCATTACATCTTGAATTGAGCATTCCCCATTCATCAAGTCTTCTCCTCAAACATCTGCTTTTTTAATTGTCCTGCAAGAGATAGTAATAAAGTACAGCTTTATAGTAATTTTCTTCCTGTAAATTTGTGGTAAAAGTTGTCAGCCTGTTTTATGTGCTTTTTATGTACCACTTTCTTATTGAGAAAATGTGACATAGGTCTTCCTTTAGTGTCCATTGATGGAATTTTTTTGTGTGTCTTTGAATTAAATTAGGATAGGAGGTGATTTGAGAATGTGAGCTTTATATAAAATTCAAAAATCTATTCTCTTTACGAAATTCTGTATCTGTTTACATTTACTCTTGCATAGAATTTAGAAGACAGAGTTCTGTGTCTTATTTGCTGCTTTATCTGTAGTACCTAGCACAAACTTTTTCACATAGTTGATTATCAGTAGATGTTTATGACAGAAATAAGAAAAGGTGAATTCTGCTATTTATTCATATTTTGATTTAAACTTTGTAATTGAATTAAATTATAAATTGATTTGTGGAGAACAAAACTCCTTAACGTGTATATTTGATAATTTGATTAAGAACATACTATTTATTGCTATTTATAAATGTCTTTAATTCTCGGTAAAGCACTGCTTAAAATAATTAAATTTATTCCTAGACTTGTGTTTTGTTACCATTATGATTGAAATCTTCCTTTCTGGGGTATGTGGGACATTTTTTTATATGTATTTATCAGCCCCTTACTATTATTACTGGCTTGCCTAAAGGCATTTGGACTAATGGCTAATCTAGAGACAGCTTGCTACAAATCTCCTGCCTCATCTTCATGCTTTGACTGGATTAAACATTACTAAGCATAACCTTCTCTTTTAAAATGTTATTTCCTTAGTGTTGTACCTAAATCAATGGAATGAAAGAAGTTGCATAAATAATTAATTCCCTAGTTCTGCAACACCTGGTCAAGGGTAGGCTATTCTCAATATCCCTCATATTCTTCCTAAGGATGTATATAATTAATGACTGGTATGGTGAGAATGATGCCTCTTGTCTGAGTTATGGTTAGTAAATTGCAAACTCTTTTTTTTCTTATAGGGAAAGTCATCATACTAAATCAGATTTAATACATCTAAACAAGAAAGACTAGTATTGCAGCCCAACACCTCAACCAGCTTTGATTATTTCCCTCATTGTAATCACTAGCTCCTGTCCAGGAGAAGCAAGGTGACTCTTAGTTGGTCTATTTCCTCCAAGACTGATAATGGAGTGAATGGGAAGCGTGGCTTATATTTTATTGATTTATTCTTCTTAAATCAAGTCAGAAGAGAGAGAGGATGCAATTACTATGGGCTTTCCTGCTTTGCAGTAGTTAGGTGAGAATTTATTCAACAGAAGTGAAAAAAAAAGCTCTATGCAGTGTGCAGAGTCAGTCACAGCTCAGATTCAGACACATTCGAGCTTTAAACCTCCACTATGGTTAGTGTATTTGTTTCTTACTGTCTCTGAAGATAGTGTGTGCAGAAGGCGGCCGCATTCTGCAGGCTCGGGAGAAACAAGACAAATGAAAGCAGTCAACACCGCCATAGGGAAAGGAAGAAAAAGGGAGGCCGTCAGCACCCAGACTGGATTCCCAGGATCAAGAGAAGGCGGTGAAGTTTGCAGTAACGTCTTCAGTTACTTACAAAAGACTTATTTTGCCATTTTGAACTTAGTGTTTTAAATTTTTGTTCCTAAGTAATTATATAGAAAAGTTGACTATTTTTGGTGTACATTTCTGTTTATTTGAATTTTAATACATTGTATAGATCATGTAGCCATCACATGATTATTACACAGAACAGTTTCATTGCTCCCCAAAACTCCTCTGTGCTATCCTGTTGTAATTACAAACTCCCCTATTCCTAACTCTTTGCAAGTACTGGTCTGTTCTTTCATATTTTTATCTTATTAAGAATGTCATATGGGGGCCTCCCTGGTGGCGCAGTGGTTAAGAATCCGCCTGCCAATGCAGGGGACACAGCTCGAGCCCTGGTCTGGGAAGATCCCACATGCTGTGGAGCAATTAAGCCCGTGCACCACAACTACTAAGCCTGTGCGCTAGAGTCCGCGAGCCACAACTACTGAGACCGCGTGCTGCAACTAGTGAAGCCTGTGCGTCTAGAGCCCATGCTCCACAGCAAGTAAACCCATTGCAATGAGAAGTCCGTGCGCTGCAACTAGAGAAAGCCCACGCGCAGCAACGAAGACCCAACACAGCTTAAAATAAATAAATAAATAAAAAGAATGGCATATGAATAGAACCATACAATATATAACCTTTTTTAAAAAAATATTTATTTATTTATTCATTTTTGGCTGTGTTGGGTCTTTGTTGCTGCTTGCGGGCTTCAGTAGTTGTGACTCGTGGGCTCGAGAGCGCAGTCTCAGTAGCTGTGGCGCTCGGGCCCAGTTGCTCCGCAGCATGTGGGATCATCCCGGACAAGGGCTCGAATCCGCGTCCCCGGCATTGACAGGCAGATTCACAACCACTGCGCCACCAGGGAAGCCCTACAACCTTTTGAGATGCCTGAATCTCGGGGAGAGGAAGCGCATGCCACTGGACACAGGTGTGATCTCCATCTCTGCCAACACACTCAGTGTTTTCTACCCCTGATGTTTTGAACTTCTGTTTTTATGGGAAGAGCTCATCGTTTCAAGTGTCTGAATTCCTGTGGATATTTGATTTATAATTCTATGAAAAACACCATGGCAATTGATAATGGAGAGGTAGTGCTGAAGGTTAGACCATATCCTATAATCATGTTGAGTCATGTTCTGTATACAAGTTTAGTTGCACAAACCCATCCTAAATTTTTATCAATAGATATTTTTATCACACTTCAAGGCTAATTTTATTGATGAAGATTTACTCTAGCAGTATGGATTGGGGTATAGCTGTTATTTGGCTTTTCTTGGACGGCATTGAATGAAATATCCAATAATTCTTTAACTTTGTTGCAATAGCAATATCTTTGTAGGGCTGAACAATTGCATTAGGATGGGTATTTTTTCAAATAAAGCCATACCTTAGCAAGTTATATTACTGGTAAAAGGACAACGTCAGGAAAATCAGAAATATACAACATTCTACCATTAAAGTGGGAAGATGTCTCTAAAAGATGAAAAACAAAAGAGTGCAAAGGAGAGTGTGACAATCTCCAAACATCTAGGAGAATTCTCTTCTAATGGTCTTGGATGGAGGTGTATACTTTAGGCAATTATATGTTTGTTTTAAGGATCGTGGGTCAGCCTCATCTTCTATAGAATGTCTACTTCTGACCATTCCCTGGAGAACCTTAGTTTAATATCTCTAATGTGAGTAACTTTTCAATTCTTGTCAATTAAGGAAGCATGATGTTATACTAGTTGGTGCACATGTAACACAGGATGTATTTCTTGTACTTTATCTGCTGAATTGGTAACAAATAGTACCTAATAAGGTCATTTCTGCAAGCTCAATGGCAGTCTTTCTCTGGGTATCTTGCAGAGCATCCAGTCACCCAGATTAATGTCATGTAATAGCTGATTAAATGAAAGGCTAAAAAATCAACCTCTGCCTGTGATGAAAGGACTGATTATATTGGGTTTATCTATTTTAGTTCAGTTTGTGAAAGATTGGAATACGTGTCGTTTGGGACCTTGTGAGTTACCTGGGCCTATCAGTGACCAGTTCATAGTGAGACAACATATGACTTTGTCAGGGGAAGAAAGCAGGGCCATGGGGGCCAAGGCTAATTAATAATGCATTAGGCCATAGTAGTTCAAGGGTGTCTGATACAGTAATTCATCTCAGTTCTAATATTCCATTTGTTCTTTCCACTTCTTCAGAAGATAGAGGAATGATAAGAATAGTAAAATTTCTGAGTGAGGGCCAAAACTTTCTATAGCTCCCCTATATAGATATACATTGAAATGGCACAGGTAGTAAACACAATATCAAGTTGATTTTCAACTATCGTGAGTGCTGTGGATTCTCTGACAAAAGACTGCTTCAACCCATGTAGAAATAAAAACACTACTACTAGTATAACCCATAACCCATGGGGAAAAAGCAATTGTTTAACTCCTTTTCGAAATACCCCAAATGTTTCCTTGGGACAGTATTCCAGTTCATATCCCACCTTTACAGATTTTTATGGGAGTTTGTTTCTTCCAAGAAAGGCATGAACTGACCCCGTTCTTTGCCATTCTAGAAGTTTCCCCACCAGTGTTTGTTTAATGTTGCAGCCAATACGTCCCTACTGTGATGTCTTTTCTCTGGAGGACTTTAGCAAGAGTTCATCGGAGATCATTAGGCTCCACCAGACAGCTGTCCTGGCTTTGATATACCTTGTCCTCATGAATCAAACAAATCAATCATTCCTAATGATTCTTTACAAAATTGGGGCCAAATTTTGTGCATCTAAGATGGAATTATTGAACTTCTCCATGGATTTCTCTTTATGTTCTAGAAGAGGTGCTTGCATAAGGATTAAGTCAGAAAGGGATGCTTAGCATAATAATCTGCTCAAGCATTTTTTCCTAGCTTCTACAGAGTCTTTTACACTGTGAGAGTTG